CTTGCTTCTTAGACTAAGAGACAGCTTTACATACCACGTCGACTGCTGCTTATGTCATAAGGTTACGGCCGCTTCTAAATTGATGGTAGCTAATCGGAGCATCTTTGAGTACTCAAGTTGCCTTCGAAAACTAGAATTCTTAGTTGTCTTCGCTCGTTAGATGGTGGCCCTCGCCATTCGTACCCGTCGGGCTCACGTGCACATCGCTTCCCAGGGACGTCCTAGCCTTTACTCGAAATTATCAATTGGTTCTGATGCGACGAAGTGTTTCTCAGCAGGCTTGTCGCGCTCCCCTGTGGGGAACGATGCTGGAATCATAAGTAAAAATTTTGTTCCTGTGAAGAATCGAATCCGCGACTCCTACCAGAATAACATTTTCTAATACTTATCTAGATAGCACCTCTTCCCTATTTATCTAGGTGCCGCGAAAGCAGAGGCTGGATACAGACATAATACACTTTGAAAAAGATTTGAGGAAGTTAACTCCAAGTCAAGCCAAGAAAAATGTAGTAATTACAAATTTTTACAATACTTTTAACTAGAAGTGCTCAATGTGTTTTTTCACCGTATCATGAATATGTCATCATACAGGACATATGAAGGGATAGGTGACTAAAAATCTATAGAAAAAAAATGAAACTAGCGAAGCTTGATTAAGTGAGCGTATGCTTCATTTTCCGACTTGTTGAAATATGGTCGGAAGTAGTAGAAGCTCGAAGAGTGCTTCTTACATTGGGGTAGCGCTTTATCTTTTCAAGTTAATGCACGAACTGTAAACTATAAATCCAATCTTCTATAGAGCACAAAGATTTGATCCTGCGCGAGTGGCAGGTGAAATTTAATAAAATAATGATTGTATTCTACCATCAAAGCACAAAATTAGGATCGATTAGCTTTTAGCACAACAAAACTTGTTACGATAATTTTTGGCAAGTTCTGATTGCTTTATCACTTTTTAAACATTAGTACATTTAGCAGTAGGCTTACTCATGTAAATTTTCTCTTGAAATGATTAATAAACCCTCTCAAAATTTTTCAAGCCCCCAGATTGGTCTTAATATATACGTAAATGCAAAAGTTCCCCGGTCTTTTCATAAGTCTAAAAAAGCAAGTAGAAGCAAGCACTTCTACTAATGTGACGGTAGGCAAGCAATGTTGAAAATGAAAAGAGAGCGATTTGCTGGCTGTTGCTAGAACAGTACCTACTCCCTTATCACAGTAACAAAAGATTATTTTAGGTTTTGGTAGTGGTTTCAGGAAACGCACAAGCCTATCGTGAGTCTTCCCCGTGTCCAGAGGGTGTGTTTCGCATTGTCACCATCTTCTTTAGAACAACTTTTAGACTGACAGTTCTTAGATGAAATTACGTGCGAGTTCTCAACCCCGGCACCATCAGCTGGTGTTTCCACTCCGACTCCATCAACTGGTATGCTTCACATTTACAACATTTCCTCTGGAGCAACTTTTAG